ATAGGAAGTTTTTAAGCACATAGGATGTTTTTTGAGCCACAGACTTCAACCGGATGTGACCTTTTTTGCAATCTTAGGGGAAGTATTTGACCATTTTTTTCCCGCAAATCGAACGTTTCCTTGAGAGAAAAGACAGTAAAGAATACGAATTTGGTACCATCAAGGCATTGTAAAAGGGTAAATGATTCACTTCCAGTTGACATGCATTACTCAAAAACGTCTTTGCTCAAGCTTCCTTATAATAAAGCAAGAACAAAAACGCGAAGCAGGCGCGGATCTAGGATTAATATTGACCGATTTCCTAAACGAGCGTCGAAGGCGCAAGCTTTTGGGGGGTCCGGGGGCATAAATACATCTATTATGAAAAATCTGACCGATTTCAGTAAAACAGTGGAAACCGTGTGGATCCGCGCCTGACAAGCAGGTAAAGCACGGTTTTTGGTAGAAATTGCTTATTACCATCGCACGACTAATGTTCTCCCACGTGATGAGAATGGCAATGTTATTGTCGCTTTTATTTTAAAAAATGGGTTGGTTCATTTATGCATTTATCTATAAACTAGCCTTTGATCAATGATCTCCTCCTCATGTTCAGACTTGATTTCACTCTGTAAAGCGGGAATTAGTTCATCTCCAAGTAAAGGTGCATCCAAACGCTCAGATGGTCTTATCTTATTCAGCATCGCCTTTAGTTTATCTGGTGACATAGCACACTCGACCTGCTTTTGACTCGATTCTTTCATCGCTTCAACGTACTAAAAGAAAGAACAAAACCTTTGAAGGACAAATTATAAACATTTTTAAGGACAAAATGTTAAATACAGTTGAACCCGCCCATTTGAGACCACCTCTCATAAGCGATCACCTTCCATAAGCGACCATATATTCAAAAACATGAAAACTTTTCCCAGTCAAAGCCCTGTAATTGTAAACGAGCACCTCTAGTAAGCAACCGCTACCACTTTTGGGCGAGACGGTTTTGTAATTTTTCACCTGTTGTAGGCGACCAACTGACCTGTGGTCTACTCTCTATGTCATAATCAGTGCTGGCCTTCCAAGAGTGGAACTTCACATATACAAACTGCATGTAAACAATCTTTGCTTAAAAGCAGATGTCTTGGGACCTCTTCTCGAAAGAGACTCGTATAGTTCGATACTCGCAGGCAACCACCTAATCTTCGCGCTTTGGGCGGTCGGTTACCGGAAGTTCGACTGTGAGGGAATCCATGAAAGGGAATCCTAGTCTTGCATTCTGGATTCTGCAGTGTGGATTCTGGATTCCCGGATTCTGTGCCAGTGGAACTTGGTTTCTGGATTACAGGCAGCAGGATTCAGGATTCCTTAGAATGTACATGTGTTCCGGATTTCCAAAACCAAGGATTCCGGATTCAACAGCAAATATTGCTGGATTCTGGATTCTGTCAAGTAAAAATTTTCCGGATTCCGTAATCCAGATTCTCTTTCATGGGGCGACTCGCTGTAATGTTATGTAAAGCGATGATTTGGAGTAGAGATGAAAGAGGTTCATATTACTTACCATGAGCATGAAATCCTCCTTTTTAAGACATTCTTGAAACGTTTGACCCGCTCGCAAAGCCGATAATCTTCCCCGGTATTGAAAAAGCTTTGCTTTGATCTCACTCAATCCACCTTGATCTTGAAACGAGAAACACGTCCTCTTCTTTGATCCTTGTAATTTCTGTTTCTACAAAAGTGTAAACCAATAATTCAGAACAAAAAGGTTACCGTAAAATTCCGAAAATAAGCCCCGGGGCTTATATTTTTCAAAAGCCCTTTTTGGGGGGCTTATTTTTGGAGGGGCTTATCTTCGGAGGGGCATTACTATGGAGGGAAATTTGCGTTTCAAAATCGATTGGGCTAGCCTTATAGTTGGAAGGAAATTTACCGTTTTTGCTTTGTTTTACTTTGTATTTGAAGGCAATTTCCAAGTACAAGCCCCCGGGGCGCTTATATTTGGAGGGGCGATTTAACGGAGGATTCTTTGCGTTACGAGTTTGGGCGGCTTATATTTGGCGGAGCTTATACATGGAGGGGCTTATTTTCGGAATTTTACGGTATTCTAAATATAAAAAAAAGGAAATGTGCTTTTTATTATTGACCAATGAGCTAAACCAATGGTATAAAGTTTACATCATTATTAAAGAAAGAACCGAAACATGCTTTAAGTAAAATTCCAATTTCTTCAACCCTCGGTTTTTCCAAACTCCCCCTTACTGCACTTTTGAAAAAAACGTAAATTCTGAAGTTCAAAAGCCAACTGACGTTTGCGTACTTCACTGCCGTCAATCATCTTAGCGGAACTCTGAGGAAACAGAAGTTTGTGATTTATGATTGGTGGATTTCGATCCTCTCTGTGTGTCTCTGCGTAGCTTCTTGCTTATGATCGTAATTATGTTGACGGCAGCCAAAAGCGCAATTGTGAAGACAGCTTTTGAACTTCAGTGTTCGGGTGTTTCTGAAAAGCGCAGTAATCATGATCAGAACACAAAACTGACTTTCAATCGCAACTAAAACACGGAAGTTTAATACCCCTCTATGTTCTCTTACAACACAAAAACGTCTTGGCTTAAGATCTCTGATGCCCTGTTATGATTATCATTATCTACGCTTTGGAGTTCCACAGGGGTCTGTCCTCGGCCCGATGCTTTATCTGCTGTACACGTCGCCTCCTCCATCAAAGCCCATAACCTTGATCGACTTCTACTTTTACGCTAAACAATATTCAGCTCTATTTGGCCAGCATAAGCCTAATGCCGTTGTTAATGTCAATTTCATTAAGAATGAGATGTGTATTTAACTTCTAAAAGTGTACATAATTTACAGTAATGCTTAAATCTGTAACTATTAAGTTTTATAACTACAATACTAACGATTACATTCTATGACAGTTATACTAACTACATGAGAAGTAACTGCAATTTGATTGGCTTAGAGCAGTGGTATTTCAGCTTAATTTGAAATACCTACATGTGAAAATTACAAACCTTTTGCGGGTAGTAGTATAAACAAATAATAGCTTGATTTGTACGTGATATTTGGCATAAATATCACTCGTGATATTTCAATATTGTCTCTAACGGCTCGTGAAATTGCGTATAACAGTTTTGAAATATCACTCATGGTTGTAATGCCAAATATCACTACAAATCATGCTATTACCTATACAAACTAGAACAATTCGGTGTCGATAACTAGCTACATTCCTTGCGGTTCAGATGCGATCATTTTCGGTAGCAAAATATTTCTTGCACACAGTTCAATGTTTCAAAAAAGTCATGACAAAAAATGATCCGTTTCTGATATTGAAAAAAAACCACTGAACAACAACAATAACATATTAAAATGAATAAAACCTCCAGTTGTATTCCTAAATGGCCCCTTCTAAATTTTCGAAGTGGATAATATCATCATCATTTATAATCTATCATTGAGTTTACTACAAAAAAAAACAAAAACAAAAACAAAACAAAAACAGCAAAAAGGGGCACTTAAACCGTAGAAGAATTGTATTTTGACCTTACCGAAGGTGTTCGCTGAGTGAACTGAAGTACGCAACAGGACGGAAGAGGGAAGAAGACGGCAAACCTTAATGTGTGACAAGGGTGACAATAATTTTGTTTGAAAAAACCTTCCGCCAAACTTCACCTTCTTTCAAATAGATCTTTTTTTTTTTTAAAGACTGGAAAAAAAAATTAATGTCAAGTGAAGATCACGTCAGATCAAAACAGACCAGTAACAGCCCTTTTACTTGTCACACCCAAGCGTTTTGTCGTCCTCTTCTTCCTGCCGTCCTGTTGCGATGTGAAAACAATAATTTTCCATTACTTATAACAGAATGTGAGTTTCTCGCCCTACCTTCTGACTTGTTTCTACACGATCTTGGTCCTTCTTTTTCTCTTGTTCACAAAGATCAGCAGCAAGACTAGAATTTTTACCCTGAAACAATAACAATAACAAATAAGTTTATCTCGTTTTTTTTTTTTTGCAAGTTGTGGTGCATTCTTATTGTTTAGATTGAATGAAGGGCTAGCCATGCTTCATTATCATTTGAACCGTGCAAAATGATACCATCAAATCATAAGAATGATGAATAATAATATCTTTTGATAACATCGTAATCTTTACAAATAATGGTATGATGAGCTGAAACAAGTAGCAAACCTTCCATGCGAATGTCAAGGTGAATTTTACCGGGTGAGATAACTCAGGACAACTATTCAGGGTTACAGGAAATGTTTTCCAAAAGAAGGAATTTTTTAATTCCTCTATAAAAAAAAGGCTGTACGAGATGCTAATATTAAGACATGATGAACAGGGATGTCATGCAGTGCATGCGCATGTTCTGACATGGATATCCATGGCTCTGATAACAAAGTTAGATTTGGTTTTCAAATCAGGGACACTGCTGCATTTCTCGTGGCGTATTGTTGTGGTATATTAAATGCTTATATGTACCCTAGCTGATTCTAGAGAATAAAGTGGCGAATTGGTTTAAATGAGAATGTCTTTTCAGTTTTTAGAATGAGAATAAATGTCAATATATAAGTAAAACAATCGTGTTTTGAAGCTTTTAACCTACCCTCTCCGGGCTCTTTTCAACGCCAACTGTTTTCACTACGAGGTCTTTTACATCCTAACAAACAACTCCAACTGAAGCATACGGAACATGAGCCGGCGTATAAAATCCTCCAACACTCTGTTTTACATTGCGATTGTACTTTTCTCGCCAATGGTCTTCCGGTAATTGCGATTCGTAATGACAACCCGTTCGAATTCGGACTTTTCGCTCGCCATGCGATGCGACGAAAGGCGGTTGAAACTCAGATCGAAAATTTTGTTTCGAAGATCGAACAATGTCTGCGTAAAGTTGGTTATCCGATTTTTGAAGCACGACCATGTTACAATTGCGCCAATATTTTCATTAAAAAGGCGATGTGGTACAAACAGTAGCACAAAGAACAAATGCGAACTGAAACTTTCAAAAATTACAGTTACCATAGGGACGTTTCATGACGAATTGTCGTGACACGGCACTTTCGAACACTTGGAACACTCTGCGCCTGCAGTGCAACAAGGAACAGAACGAGAATGAAAACGACGTCAAAAAAAAAAGTAATGGTGGGGTGAAAAATAGAAAAGGAGTGCAGAAAGAAGAGGGCGGTAAAACGTTTGTTTATGACAAACGTAACAGGGCTATTACTTGAGCGTTTTCTCGTGATCTTCCCTTAACGTTGTGTTCTTTGCGGAGCTCCACGCGAGGCGCTTTGCGGTATTGGGTTATTTTTGGTGCGATTTTGCGGTGATTTGTTTGTCAAAGTACGGTATTGCGGTTTTCAGAGTCCAAGTATGCGGTAATTTTAAATTTTATAACGCGGTGATCGGTGAAAAAATTGTTGTCACGCGGTGATCTGCTTCGTTTCTTTAAAGCATGACAACTATACAAATCTATGGGTTCCTGATAAATCCTAAAAGGTCTCCCAAGGTCCCCTAGCCTGCGTGCCTCCCTAGTTGCACAGTCGGAGACCATCATGATCGCGCAACGAGAGTCCAGAAAATGCGCTCATAGACAAGGTGGAGATTTTATTTTCGCGGGAAAAAGTGCCCTAAAATGTGTCTTGGCTAACGTTCTTAACGTTCTTACAGACCTTACCGTCTCTTTCGTGCTAGTCGCGAAACAATGGCGAGCGATCCAGATGGTGAACAAAGTGACCAGTCAGATAATCCATTAAATAGTGAGGTCGTTATGAATTGCGTAGCAATTTTCTACGAAGAAGGAAAAGGGGGCGAAAATTACAGAAAAAAAGTTCCGTTGTTTGGTAAATCGAGGGGAGAAGAGGCTGGGGAAATTCAGGGAAACCGTTTGGTAAGTACTATCTTATTGTACTTATTCCTAACCTACCTCAACAGTACATCGATTATCGACATTTTCCTGTCCTACAGTCTACTTATCGTATATAAGTTTCACTGAAAACGTTTGATAAACAAAGACGAGTGCGATGGTCGTACGTGCATGTTTATCGTATGCTTAACATCGACGCACTTTAATTTGGAAACACTATTCAAAAGGCGGATTTTAGTCTTGAGAACGGCAACTTCTTCCATTTGCAACTGCGGTTTCGGTATTTGGTAAATTTTGATGCGGTATTGCGGTTTTCTCTCTCTACCACGTGCGGTATTGCGGTATTCGTACCCCCCTTACGCCCCCCTCCTTTTACGAAAAGATCTGAATTGAAGTTTGGCGGAATTTTATTCAAACATTACTGATTGTCCCTCTTGTCACAGAAGGTTTCCTGTCTCCTTTCCTCTGCCGTCCTATTGCTTATTAAAGTTCACTTCTTTAAAGAACAAGTCATTGGCCTTCATGTTTTGCAGAAAGATCACGATCTGTTTTTGCCTTTTTTACATACCATGAGCGCCACATATGACACATGAAATATCAGCGCGTTTTTTGTAGCTTAATATTTTTATACTTTTTTTTTTTTAAACTCTGGGACCACTTTATTTGCCTTACCACTGTTGTGGTAT